AAATATCTTATAATTAGCCAAAACATTGTTGCATATAGTGCAATGAGCGTTTTATAACTCGAAATATACAATATGGAAAGACCACATTAATTAACTCCTGTGCGAAATCTAACATATTATATAAACTTAGCTATCGGTGTCTATTAACGTATGTATAAACACATTTATTGCTAGTTACACAATCGGTACGATACTACTATAATTATTATATATGTTTGTAAAAATGGAAATATTACTCCTGTGCACAGTTAAGAATGGTAATAAGTATATTATTTTGTCTTATGACCCAAGTTAGTTGTAAGGCTTTTTCTTAAATTACAAATTTGCAATCGAAATATCTTTTAGAATAGCCAATTGTTAGCCTTCCCTTTCGTTTCGTTATGCAGGCGTCACACTGTCCCGAATTTGGCATCAGATGGACACACGAATAAGGAAATGTTCAAATTCGGATCTGATCGTAATAACATCGTGCCATTCGTGAGGGCATCTTTTGCCATCGTATGATCCCCGGCTAAATATTTCAAGCTCCGGCAGCAACTTCGTGAGCGGTTCCAAAATCTTTGGCATGCCAAAAAATTGCCCGAAGACATTGCGAAGGTTCATTTTCGTGTTGAATTCGTATGTCAATTTTGCCCTTCGTAAGGCCGTCGTGAAGCCATCTTGTCAAATCGTGTAGTCTTCGTCTTTTCTTCGTGTGATCATCGGTGCAATCTGGCATTTTTAGCCTCAAGAAGACAATACGAAGTAAACACGAAGATTCCCGATAGTCTTAAAAAGGGAACACGACTACGTGAAGCCCCCGCAATACCGTCGTGTCACCATCGTATTTTGGTACGATGTCATCGAGATGGGACCACGATGAGGCCGAAGAAAGCAATTTTTAATGGCTCAAGCGTTGCATGTTTATCATGGTGGACATATAAACGGCTAAACCATCTTCCTCATCTGTCACTCTTGCACATCTCTACAGAGACATCAAAAGCTTAGATTATTTGCAATTCATTTACAATTATTTTCAGTTTATTTCCTGCAGAATTACATGCTTTGGTGATGAGTCAATCGAGAAAAAGAAGGCAGCAGCATTGCTACTTTTAAGACACCTTAGAAAAAATATGATGAGGCCCACAAGCCCAACTTGGGTGGTATGATAAAGTTTTATCAAATATGATAAACAAGATCAACAAGGAAAGGCAGCCTTCAATGAACGCAACACCCACACGACCCAGCAACAAGAACCAAGTAACACAAAAGGACCCCCCCCCCCCAGAAAAACGGACAGGGCGCAAGGTAAAGCATGGATAGGCTTATCACTTAAATGATACATAAGACGAAATAATGGTAAACGACAAGGAAATCAAAGAAAACAAATAAATGATTGATTTATTAACTAAATAAAACTAGGGGCAAAAGGGAAAATACTTACCGTCGACTAGAAAACAACAAGGGACACCGGCAAAAGTGTCACCAAAACAGTATGAAATAACAAAGACGTGCATCTGAGGAATAAAGAGGAGAGGGGCGCCACCTTGGACTGGTAAGCAGCATAAGTACTACTGGGGAGTTTAAACCGGTTAATGGTGCACCAAACATCACTCTTAGCCCACCATGTTCCTATAAACGAGACGGAGTAAATAAAATGAATCCCCGCCAAGTAAATTTATAACAGTTGTTATGGTTTCAAAAGATAAAATAAGTAAAACACCGAAATGATAATGTAGATACATATAAAGGAATACACATATATATGACCATAACAAAAGTACTCAATATTTTAAAGGAAGACAGAGTAACAAAAAAATCATCTACAAGGGCCGCAGGAGCAAGGTAGAAGACGAACATTAAGGCAATTCAGTCCCAAATGGCATTAAGAACTGTCCATCATAGAGTATCCCACTTTGTCCATCAGATGTAATATAAAGAGGAAAGGATCAACAGTTAAAGTGTTGAACACTAAGCATGCGGTATAGTTGGTCCGTCAGATGTAATCAAAAGAAGAAAGGACCAACTTTTAAAGTGTTGAACACTTAGCATGCGGTATATCTAAATAAGTAGGGTCAAAACCTCTTTTGGTTAAACGTTTCATAATTTTAGTAAAGGCCACAGAAAAATTACAATGACATCTCCATTAAAATCATTTTTTGAATCACTACTGAATTTTAAGATTAAATCAAAGTTACGATTGTAAAATTTTGTAAAATATTTACGTAATTTATAATAGCGGTAGCCCTGTTTGAGTAGCTTGCTAGTAATGAAAATATTTAGCTTGTTAAAATCCTTCACGTTGCTAAAAGCTCTAGCGAATCTAATTTACTGAGATACATATACCCCGTCAGATGTTGCATGCGGTACGTCTCCATCTAAATGTGGATAGTTTACTATACCATAGTCAAAGTCATCACTTTTATCATAGATTTTTGTGTGAATAGAATTGTTTTTGATAGTAATATGAAGAGCCAAAATAAAGTTTAAACTATCTGCAACTAAAATTTGCCACGGTTGGCCGTGGGTTTTTTACCAACTGGAGGTGAAGGTCACTTGACGCCTTCGTAACAGCGTACGTGCATCGTACTCAAAATACGACGTCGTGTACCTATCCTGTGACCTTCGCGTGTCCTGCTGGTAAACTACTTGGTACAAAATTGCATCTTTGAGGTGACTTCGTGTGTGTATCGGATGCGATCGCGTGACCTTCGGTAGGAATCGTGTGTGACTCGGCTGCGATCGCGTGACCTTCTGTAGGAATCGTACTTGTTTCGGCTGTTCAGAGACTACCGACCAATTTCGGGGCTATCTTCGCACGATATTAAACATTTCAAATTCGTATGCCCATCTTGTGTCAATTTCGGGACAGTGTGACGGTTAACTGTAGTTTTGGAGTACTATTCCCTTTCAATATAGTATAGTGTGATACTATAGTTGGTAATTCACTTGTATCTGGATAAACATGTTTTAAATCGAAATATTACGCTATACTACTGAGTAATACGTTATATAACTCGTAATATACAATATGGACAAGACTACATTAATTAGCTCCCTTGCGAAATCTAATATAGTATATATAGTTAGATATCGGTGTTTTTTACGTATGTATAGATAACTTTATTGCAAGTGACACAATAATGTATGTGGAATTCACGCTATCTTTGTCAACATGTTCGTAACTCAATATTAAACTATGTAATACATATATGTTAAACTGATTATGTCAAATCCTATACTGAAGGAAACAAAATAGATTAAACTGTTCGCCTTCAAGAAATTTGCAGACTATCCATTGATTTTGTGACTGTATATATGTATGTATGAATGAATGTATTATGTAATTGACTAATAGATGTACTTTGTATACGTCAAAATAAACTTTCCGTTCTGTTCTTAACACGGAGCCAACAAATGCATCACATAATTGACAAATGGTGCTTGGCTTTAATGACATGCCTTTGTTATTAGCAAGCAGTATGGCCTTTACCAGTCAAGGTTTCCTAGCTAAGGTTTAAATTTCCGGTATTATTAAAAACTGTGCGGAGGTAATTAAAGTAAGAATCAACTTTTATATGCATATTGTTATAAGTTCATTTTTCATCATGCTTTAAAGGCCTGCGTTTTCTAAAAACATCAAATTTACTTTTATCCAGATTTACTTATAATCCCCAGGTACTACAATACGTGTAATAATCGAACCATTTCGCTTTTTTACAAGTTGCATTTTCAAAGCAAGACGTATCATATAAAACACAATGTTTTATGAAGCAATAGTTCTGCAACATCATTTGTAATAGTCGTAAATTGTTCAATATAATTGTTAATTTCAGATCTGTTTCAGCACAGTCAGTTATGCTATTCATTTTCGGTAACATAGTAATATGACTACGTCTAAAATCTTCACGGATGTCACTTTTCCATTCAATAATGATTCGCTCGTATTGACTATCGTTTTCATCGCAAACAAAATAACATGCTAAATTAAAAGTAATGGGTGCGTGGTGCGTGTTCTGACCACTCAATAGAAAAATATTTAATCATGTTTATGTTTTGCTCGTGTAGCAGTAAATAGTAACGTTCGAATCAGTTGTACAAGCATATGTAAAACAACACATAAAGTCTACTGTTAGCAATTCTTAAAGAGGTAGATTTACACACATCTAGTAGCTTAATACCAAAATTATTATGTACATTTCCGGACAGTATTCATTATAATCTATAAAATTCATAATAATCTATAAAATGAACAGGTCTGTCACAAATTATGTAATCTTTCATGTCCCCATTCCCCACCCTAGCATTCCAATCATCTATCAAATATATAATCCCTTCCGTTACATAACATTAGACATTAGACATCGTTTTGTATAAAAATATCAAAAAGATCATCATTTATACAGTTATAAGCCGGTGATTCATCGACCCAGATATAGATTTATTTAGCTATATAGCCATATATATCTGTGTCGAAATGATTTTCAAATACATCCACTGCATTGCTTAATCGTTCGACGATTCTGAATTTTTGTAAAAAGTTATAATTAGCATTTATAACCATTAATTTAAAAGAGTTTTTATTACCACACGAATCAAACAGGAAAACTTTACCATAATTTGAAAGTTTATTGATAAAATCACGTAGATGATATCTTGAACTCACGTAATCGTAAATTCATGAAGTTGAAATAGTAAATTCGTAAAGTAAAAGTCATGAATTCCTCAATTCAGTTTTCTTTTCTTTTTGAAGAGCGAATATACGTCAAAAATTGGCGGAGTTGACTGGATATATGCATCAAGTTGGTACTTAATTAATACGTATACACAATGTCCCTCAATCGAAAACGACGCCGACGTTAATTGAAGTAGATATCTATATAATAATATGCAACTAATATGCACGTTTTCATAAACGAGAACAAACTCAAGACAGAATCAATAAGTTTACACGCCGTCCGTCATATATATAAATAGAACATAAACAAATTCTATAAATATATCAGCGATGAGAAATGAGCATATATACTGTTATACATTCGCATATGTAGCCAGTAAGAAGTTCAGGTAAAGTTCAAACATTGAGAGGATAAAAACAAAATAAAAACGATAAATACACTGAAAATAAAATGGGAAATTCGGTTTTTAAACGTTTATTTGCTGATAAAAATGTGCGGATATTAATAATTGGACACGAATATTCTTATACAGTGTTGCGTAGTTTGAAGCTTGGTAAATTGAGTTTTACTATGGCGGGGGAAGGAATTTTCGCTGAAGTATTACGATATAAAAATGTAGAAATGACAGCTCTAGATTTGGGAGGCCGAATGTCAATACGCCCATTGTTACCACACTACTATGCTACCATACAGGGACTTGTATTCGTTTTGGATTGTTGTAGGTAAATATTTACATTAAAATGTACATAATGGTAAAGGAATTACCTTGGCAAAGGAATTACCTTGGCAATTGTTTTGTTCAGTACTTCGTTAGATTTTGTCAGATATTTAAATCAAAACAATGGTCATTACATATCACCTTTGAATAAGGGCCGATAACCTGGTTATGTATTGCTATGATTTATTTACCCAACATTGAGGATCAAATCCTTGATGTTAATTTCGTAGCTTGCTATTATTCAAAATATTTCGGAATCATTTAAGGTATTTGACAATAGTTTCAATAAAATTGTAATCTACCTGCAGATTAATATGGATAAATATGCTCATATCTTAATCTGAAAGAAAGGAAATAAAATTTTCATGATCTGTAGTGTAAGGATTTAACAATGTTCGAATTTTAACATGTTATCATTTAGGCCAGCCAAGTTCTGCAAATTAAAACGAGTATTGCAATTAATTAATTACAAAACTCGTTGTGCATCCAGTTTTACAATACGATAATCAAATTATAGCTTGTATGTTTAGATTTTACTTTAGGTATTATTATGTTGTTGTCTATAACATATGATTATGAATGGTAGCATGTAGTGTTTAATTTCGCATTCGGAAAACTGATTTGATTTAACAAAAAATTATATCCATTCTCATAAACAATTCTATCATTTTGCAAAATTTAATTATGATAGAATGGTTGCATGCAATAGGCTTACCTGCACATTTTCGTAGCCAACAGCAATTCCAGTTTTGCTTAAATTGTTCCTGTAAATATTTTTGTAATACATGTATACTTCCTGTGTGTTTGATTTCGTAACTAACAAATTGTTTCGTTAAAAGCTGTTGACAGTTTTATTGCAAAATATCGTTGACATAATATAATTCTGGTGATATTTTGTCACAACTTATTTTTTAATAAAAAAAGTTTAAGCAATAAAATATCCAAATAACAGCTTTTATATTTACTTGAGACACTATTCGTTTTTACATGTTTTACATAAAGATTGATAAGAAGTATACTGTGTCTATTATTTTGTTGATACTTGTAAGGGCCTTTTTGTAAATTTTCTGTTTATAGATATAGTGAATACTAAAAACGTTAGCATTAGAAGTGTTGTTAAACGTTTCAAAAATTCTCAGGAAGTGTAATCTTACTTGTTTCAGTTACAGAGTGGATGACACTATAAACGAATATTGCGAGAAGATACAGGAAGATGTTCTACCAAATGATGTACCGGTTCTTATTCTAGCCAATAATCACGACGACTCGCGCGCAACTTCACTAGATAATATCCGGGAACAATTTGGGAAAGAAAAATGCTTCATTGATAGACACTGGAAGGTCCATGGTGTCAATTTTTCTGATAAAGAAGACAACGGATTGTTTGAAGCGTTTGATTGGCTCTCGGATCAGATGATAACCAATGAAAAACAAAAGATGGCTTTGGATATATTTGTTGGGGCAAATAACAACGGAACGACTGACACATCTGACCAACAGCTCGGCAATAAAGAAAATAAGGGTTTTCTTTCAAAATTCGCTGAATCACTTAAAAAAACTCTTGTTTGTCGGCCAGTTATTCGACAGTAACGAGGGTAATTCTATTATAATGGGACTGGTATGAAATAGAACAAACCATGTATATTAATCTATTAATAGAAATAGATGTATAATAGAAACAAAAGATTCCATTTAGGCGGAATAACTAGAACATTGTTGACTGGACTTTATATAAAGGACATTCAGATATAGTGTAAAAATCAAATTGCAAGTTATAAATAGTGAATGTCTTTCACATGTCAGTAATAACTTGCAAAATAGATAGCAAATTCGGGAAAATATAGTCTATCGCGCATCTAATTATATAATATAACTAAAATTTGATTTTATGCGTCGAACCTTTGGTCCACTGCATGCCTTATTAATTTCTTATTCATACATTCATATGTTCATGAACCTCAGCAAATGTTCTGATTATTCAACAAAACTAAAAAAATAAGTTGAAATTGTAGTTGAGAATTTCAAAGATAACGTAATTGTGTTCATTTTTTAAAAAGGTTGGTATATTATTTAAAGCTATGATGGAGCATAATTTAATTAGTTTTCAAATACTTAGCATGAGTATAATATCACACTATTGTTTAACATTGTATTTGTATATCTCAATTTTTGTAATATTTATGACGTGTATAATAAAAAAATTACTATAATTGTTATATTCTTATGAGGACATAAAATAAAACACAAATTCGTTAAACGACGATATTAAACTGTTGTGAGATATTCCAGCTATGTGAGGTATTCGGACTCTCAATCTTGCAAATATACATATAGATATAGACTAATGAAGCCCTAGAGGTATTAATCAAGAGTTTGAACACGTAAGTATTACATACGAGGGATGTTCGAAATGTATTGTTTATTTGTATCTAGAGATTTCAAATTATAAGTTAGCTCAAAAGTGTTCATTTGTGTCCACTTCTTGAAGGCGTCAAGGTACGCTGACTCGGGCACAGTAATAAGGTACTGATGAATGGCAGATCCAAGTGCCTGTCGGGACTTCCGCCAAGCAAGGAGGATTTCAATTTCGGAAACAAAAAGAAATCACACTGAACTCGTAAATTGCGCGTACGCTTATTGTATATAATTTTGTTTAAAAACATTTTTTGACGAAACGAAAGCAGTTGCTCCTTCGCCTCTCCTTTTGAGCTGCTTAAATCCTTTTTTTTATTAGCATCTACGTATTATATAAACATGCCATATTGGATATTGCCAAAATAATCAAAACAAAATAATTATTTTTATTGGTTATATATTTGTTAACCAGCATGTAATGCATTGATCGAGAAAATGGATATGTTGGATATTGACTATTTTTTCACATAATTATATACACTATGACCAGTCAATGACACTTGTAGTTTCGTAAGCGTATTGAGGCAAAATACTTAATAACATGACGTTGCTTGTTTTCATTGTGATATAACCATAACATTCCATAGCGGTGGTTTGAGTATTTATTATATGCTTTTCGGTGGTTTATAGAAATATATCAGTGAAATATAAAACTTATATATTCACTGTTTGAAACAGTGAAAGTACCACTTTTATAATTTCTCTGTTTTGATTAAATTTTAAGCCCCTTTTCATTGCTTTCCTTTCCTCTGCTCTGGCAAATACAGAAATTTTAGTTCCTAGCGAAAGTGAAGGTAACAAGTACTGGTAACAGCGTGCCCAGGAACGATGCGGTGGCTAAAATGTTTTTTTGTAAGTTCGATGTGGCTTACTTCCGTGATCCGGAGTGAAAACTTCCAATACCACCACCACCATCGTAGATCATTAAAGGATAGTTCTTGCCATTATGAAATAAAATGTTTAGAATAGATAATAATTGAAAAACATTAAACAGCAAACTGTCTATGACAACTACAAAAAATGGCTTGCCCAAGATTCGAACTTTCAACTGCGTGATTGCTTTTCCGTCGTACTCACCATTATGACATCATGCAGTATTTGTTGATTAATGAACGATATATACTATCATTAAAATCATAAGCCTAAATCGTAATAAATTACGGTAACTAACAAGAATGTCTGAGTCAGTATTCAAAGCACAGAAGGCGCTGAATTTGTATGGGTCTCAGAATGTCAGAAAGTTGAAGGTTGTGAGATTATAAACCAATTTGTTTTTGTATAGTGCCACCAATGCTTTCCAGCGTTTAAATTGTAGTAAATTGGCTATAAGACTAATTGCAACACTGTTATTCAATTCAATGTTTATTTGACTTAAACAATTTGAAAAAAAGAGCTGCCTCAACTGGGATTTGAACTCCAGACCTTTCGCTTCCTAAGCGAGCGCGCAAACCCCTCGGCCACGGTGAAGTTATATGTAAACAGTCTGAAGAAAACCATCTTATTCTAAATTAGGGATGTAACCCTTGATATTTCGATAACACCGATGTAAATAACCATTGAGCTTACCATAAGCATGTATATATATAAAGAATAAATAATTATTAGAAATCTTCGACCATTCGGGAACTATTTTGCTTGAAAATTAATGCGCCTGTTATTTGACCATCTTTACGCAGTGATCCCCCCTGAATTTTTGTGGCGTAAGTGTACATATAAAAGGAAGTAACCGCTTCAAAAAAGCGGACTACTTCAATCGGAATACCTCGGGCGACTTCGAGAATTCGTACTTGACGGAGATTGCCGAGTTGTTACGATTGGGACTACTTTCGGCATTTGCAATTAACAGCATCAGGGTCTGAAATTTCGCTACCATTATTTGTTTGGTCTGACGACCCAAACAAATTAAAAATTGAAAATATGTGTGACAATTATAATCAATTTAAGAAATCGAGACTGCGCTAAAAGTGTGGCGACTATATAAAGCCACGATTGAAGTCAGCCACGATTTACGTCGGCGAATCAATTTCTAATGTCCAACCTTTAAATTAATTGGTAATCTTCCGGGCTAACGGACTCAACTACTTATACGAATATTGTATTGCAAATTGAATCAGTTGACAGACATTATTGAATTTTGGTGCATTAAATAGTTCTGTTGTCCCGTTATTATTCAACACATTAGTTAAGCCAAAATGACCTGTGAGAATTTTAAAACCCAACCTATTTCCTAAAGGGTCCGTCACACCATGACGTTCTGGTCAACGCTCTCTGAACGTTTCAATCGTTCAATTTTTGAACATTCTTGAATAAAGTTGACACATCTAGCGTGTGATTAACGTGCACCTAACGCATAACTAGCTGCGTCTTACGCACGAGAAGCGTGAAACAGCGACGAAGAAAGAAACGTCTGAAACCCATAAGCGTGTGCTAACGTTCCACTGGCGCGGGACGAATTATTTGTCAACACCTGACGAGCGTTGTGAGCGTGTGACTAACGCGTGAATAACGACACAATAGCGTCTTGATAGCGTGTTGATTTTTACGGCTAAACAGGTACAGAACGCTGGAAATTTCATCGTGAATTCAGTTGTTCTTGTGTGTTTGAATAGTCAGCATCATGACAACAAGAAAAAAATATTGGGGTGAGGGCTTCTACTAGCTACATTTTGTATTTCCAAATCCTTTACGTCTTTATATTTATGATTTAGTCCAACACTGTCGTCTTTGTCGGGGTCTTCTTCTCTGTAGATGAATGTCGGGGTCTTCTCTGCGGGTGATTTCCCTCGATATATTCAGCTATGTTTAAGTTCAGTACATCTACTTGAAGCTTGGCTATAGCAAACATATATAGCCTACTTAATTTTTCAGGATCTTCCATAGTAGGTATTCTCTACGATAGCCAAAAATCAAATGAACCTTGCTTTTTACATATGCATAGTCGTTCGTGAAACGGTCGGATGACGCACAAATGACGCTCAATGGACGCAAAAAGGACTTTCCTTTACATTAAGTCACACGTTTTGTGACCGTTCAGCGGTCGTTGACAGGTCGTCTGAGAGTCGCTAGTGAGTCGTTCACTGCAAAGCAAACGATGAGCAACAACCAAATAGCGATTGAGTAACGGCTGACTACCGATACACGAACGTGTGCAACGCTCAATGAAAGTTAGTAAAACGATCCATGAACGTTCTTAAACGTTCTTCAGCGTTTGAAATTTAAACGTTGAAGAACGCTGGACTGAGTGAGATCTTTTGTGCATGTTCAAAACTTTTGTTCCGGACCAGCGTGTTTCGCCGATTCCCGGCGGTTACAGAGGTTCACTGGCGTTCAAAAAACGTTCTTCTGGCGCTATCCTAGCAACCATGGGCGACTTACAACGTTTCCCAAAACGCAATAGAACGCTGACCAGAACGTCATTGTGTGACGGCCCCATTACATACATGTACATATGCTTGTATGCAAATAGATTGACTAATGCAAAAATTGTCCCTAAATTCTTTTAGTATTATCGCACTTGATGTACAGTCACTTTATGCTTCAAAAGTTCAAACGTGCATTATTTTGTGTCGTGGTTGGTGCGGGGTCTTCCTAAACCCGTCTTTAATGAAATGTCGTATCTTTCCGCCGGACAGTAAAATATGTAGTATATTAAATAAATAGTATAATATATATAGTAAGCTATATACATCTGCTGCAAAAAGTATTGTTTGATTTAAAAAAAAAAACACAATAATTATTAAATGCTTGTATGAAACAAATATGGTAGAAGGTTGTCTTAAAAGTGAATGGCACATGCATGAATAAAAAGTCGGACGAGTCTAGATATATGAGCAGTCGGGCAAGTCTTTGAGCAGTTGGAGCAGTCTACATATCTGAGCAGTTGGACCAGTCAACATATCTGAGCAGTTGGACCAGTCTACATATCTGAGAAGTGGAACCAGACTACATATCTGAGAAGTTGGACCAGTCTACATATCTGAGAAGTTGGACAAGTCCATATTTATGAGCAGTTGGACCAGTCCACATATCTGAGAAGTAGGGACCAGTCTACATATCTGAGAAGTGGGACCAGTCTACATATCTAAGCAGTTGGGCCAGTCTACATATCTGAGTAGTTGGATCAGTCTACATATCTGAGTTATTGCACCAGTCTACATATCTGAGTAGTTGGACCAGACTACCTATCTGAGCAGTTGGACCGATCTACATATCTGAGCAGTCAGACCAGTCTACATATCTGAGCAGTCGGATCAGTCTACATATCTGAGCAGTCAAACCGGTCTACATGTCTGAGCAGTCGGACCAGTCCCCAGCCAACATCCTATATCGGCCCGACATCAAACCGACATGGTTTTCTATGACGGCCCGATGTCGGCTTTAACCTCGGCTGCAAATAGGAATGATGTTGGTCCGACATCGGCAGCACAATATCGGGCCGATATCTTAACGATATAGGCCCGATATTTCTTGCCGACATCGGGCCTACATCAAAACAATAGCGGTGCGATGCCAGCCAACAGTAGATATATCGACCAGGTATAATTCTTATGCTAGCATGTTGATGACATCTAGCAACAAGCGTTTGGCATCTCCTGCAAGCACACAAAATAAAAGATAATTATTTTATATATTATAAGATAATAAAGGCGAATATTTAACTTTAATCACTACAATGATAATTCATGTCGCGAAATCATGTGTCAAATATTTTCAACATAATTTTACATTTAAAAAAGAGACAAACAGATAAATTGTATTTTTCCAATAATTTTAAGTGTAAAAATCAAATTATTAACAGCGTTTACACATTTGTTGAATCATCATTACATTAAAAAAAAAAACATGCTTTTCATCACCTTCCATTGTTAGCTTTTCTTTTGGCGCTTAATCTGTTAATTGTAGGACTGCAGTGAATATTTGCAAGCTTTTCATTTAAAATATAATAAACGAGTGATTTTTATATAGTCAAAACATAAATATTGAATTTAATTACAAACCACATATCATTTCCAAACTCAACTATGATTATTTAAGAAATTAATATCAAAATGTACAATTATTTTCTGCAT